GGTCTGCCAAACTTCGCAATAGATAATGAACCTCTTAATGTACTACTGGCGAATCAAATAGTGCTTTGAGATGCGTTTGAATTATAACTGGTTTATTATAAAATCTTTGTATCAACAAGTCCAAAGCCACAATGTAATTGCTACGCGTTACTTCCAAACAATCTAATAACCTTCGAGCGTCCCCTTCTAGAGAATCCAGGGAATTATAAAATTTTTGCATCTCATCGAGCTGTGTATTATTGTGCACGTCTCAAACGTTTCGTAAAACTGGGCTCGCATATGAAATTTGATACAATTTCGAATGCTTCCCATTTAGTTTACATTGCTCTCAGTCAAATTTCGTGTACGAAATGTATTTCTATGCAACGGGCAAACCACCTAGGAATTCTTTGCCAAAAATGTGGGGAATTTAGAGGAATTTGTGGGGAATTTGAAGGAACTCATCGGAATTTATGAGAATTTGGGGAATTTATAGGGAATTTGGAAAAATTTATGAGGAATTTGGAAGAATTTGTGAGGAATTTATGAGGAATTTAAAGGAAATTGTAGCGTCATGACATCACTGAGGTTCACATTCTTATTATAAGAAACACTTATTAAAGGAAATTAAAAAAAATATATCTAGATTTGTGTTGGACGTTGGACATCATTTTTATCAAAGAAATTCCCCCAAAATTTCACTTCATGATTTACAGGTTCAAATGAAAAATTCAAAAGAATAATGAGTAGGTACAGTTTTTGTAGGCTGATTTTCAAGATTCTTCATGTTGTTATTTTCTACTCAACAAATTTGAAATTTTGGGAAAATGAGCTTCTCACCTTCCTCTTTAGATGCAAAAAATTTCAAAATTTTCCCTCCACTAGTTTTCCAGGAAAACTTAGAAATATGTGAGACTGTATTTCCAATTAATTCAGTTATTGTAGGTTAAATTCTAAGATTCCTCATGTTGTTATTTTCTACTGGAAAAATTTGAAATTGTGGGAGAATGAGCTTCTAACCTTCCTCTTTACATGCAAAAAGTTTCAAATTTCTCCCTCTATTAGTTTTCCAGGAAAACTTTGAAGTGTGTGAGACTGTATTTTCAATTAGTTCAGTTTTTGTAAGTTGATTTCCAAGATTTTCCATGTTGTTATTTTCCGCTGGAAAAATTTAAAATTATGGGAAAATGAGCTCCTAACCTTCCTCTTCACATGCAAAAAGTTCCAAATTTTTCCGTTCACTAGTTTTCCAGGAAAACTTTGAAATGTGTGAGACGGTATTTTCAGCTAATTCAGTTTTTATAGGTTAATGTCCAAGATTCTTCATGTTGTTATTTTCCACTGGAAAAATTTGAAATTTTGGGAGAATGAGCGTCTCACCTTTTTCTTTACATGCAAAAAGTTTCAAAATTTTCTTTTCACTAGTTTGCCAGGAAAACTTTGAAATGTGTGAGACTGTATTTTCAATTTTTTCCTTATGATGTTATTTTCTACTGGAAAAATTTGAAATTTTGTGAAAATGAGCCTCTAATTTTCCTCTTCACATGCAAAAAGTTTCAAATTTTTCCCTTTACTAGTTTTCCAGCAAAACTTTGAAATGTGTGAGACGGTATTATCAACTAACTCAGTTTTTGACAGGTTGATTTCCAAGAATCTTCATGTTGTTATTTTCCACTGAAAAAAATTTGAATGTTTGGGAAAATGAGCTTCTCACCTTTCTCTTCACATGCCAAAAGTTTCAAATTTCTCCCTTCACTAGTTTTCCAGGAGAACTTTGAAATTTGTTAGACTGTATTTTCAATTAATTCAATTTTTGTAAGTTGATTTCCAAGATTCTTCATGTTGTTATTTTCCGCTGGAAAAATTTAAAATTATGAGAAAATGAGCGTCTAACCTTCCTCTCCATGTGCAAAAAGTTTCAAATTTTTCCGTTCACTAGTTTTCTAGGAAAACTTTGAAATGTGTGAGACGGTATTTTCAACTTATTCAGTTTTTGTAGTTTGATTTCCAAGATTTTTCATGTTGTTATTTTCTACTGGAAAAATTTGAAATTTTGGGAAAATGAGCTTCTTACCTTCCTCTTAACATGCAAAAAGTTTCTAAATTTTCCCTTATTTAGTTTTCCAGGAAAACTTTGAATTGTGTGAGACTGTATTAACATTAACATTAACATATTTCGAACGACAACCTAAAACCTAACCTACAACCTACAACCACGATGAAATACGATCGATAAACACATCACACGAACGAATATGAAACGTTTGGCAATATATTCCCTGTTAGGGCAAAATATACAAAAATATCTACAATTCACAATTTTATAATCTACTATTGCAAAATGTTTCCTTATTCACTGACTAAATATCCAAAAAAAAAACTCAATTTTTAATTTCTGTCTCTATCTAATGTCATATGGGAACACGCTCTACGCCCTAGGAAAAACTAAGGATGGCAAAAATGGACACTTACCGACTTAATGCCCGCCGGCCATGTACTAACTACCACTAAACAATTTTTACTAATTTTTCTTTCTAAATGTGGCTCGAAGGACCAATTTGTTGCGTCAACTTACGCCAGGTTATCTCTTATTGGTTCAAACAATATTTTCGACAAAACAACTCATTTGTTCCTCGAAAATTGTAAAAAAAATCTCGACCAAAAATCTAACCCTACATGCACAGCGATGGCGGGTTGCCGACTCTCTTTCTGACAAAAAACAGCGTTGCCAGTGGCTTGAAAACAAAAGTACTGCTATTGTCGCTGTTGTCGAGTTTCATAATGAAAATTAAACATAAGTGTAGCATCCGCGCCAGGTACTACTACGTTAGGTACAATATTTTTAAATCCTAAAAACCTTTTACACCTCAAAACAATAATTCATAATTTAGTTTAATTATTATAACTTCCTGTTTTATAAGCGTATAAAATCCCTGAACTCGCTTACTTCCAAATTTTGTACAATACTCAAAATCGTGTACTTAGCCAGAGTAGGTAAATACTATCAAAACAATGAAAATTTTATCTAAATTCATTTAATTAGAAACCAAAATATCTAACTAATCATTTACTAGACGGAACAAATCAGTCAATTCGATAATCCAAATTCTTCAGTAAAATTCATTTCAATTAACAGTCGTTTAAATTAAATTTCTCTATCTAAACTAAGCACAAAAATATTTAAAGTCAATTCACTCAAGATAATAATATTTATGCAATAAAGTTTCATAGTCAATTCACTTCATAGTCATTTCAATCATTGAAAAAGTCAAATAAACATGTCACTAGAGTACTTACATTTAAATTATCGCCCTTAAAGACATTTAATTATTCTAATTATTATTTACTTCAAAATAGCTAGAGCACGCCCATAAAAACTGAAATGTTTACTTCTTTCTTATTTCGAGTTATTTACTGTAATTTTAACTTTTTCCGAGGCCCCACTTTTTTATACTTGAGATAATTCGCCACTTCTAAATACTACTAGTTATTGTGTCTAATTCTCGATAATTGATTGCTTTAGAGCTCGTACATAATGTTGAACGAATTTAAATATTCTTTCTTTCACAATTTTCCGTTACTTTTTCAAAGATTCGATTCAACGCGTTTTCCCGAGGTAAAAAAATAAAAGAAACTCTCCGCACTGACTCATTAGGTACTGTATACTTAAACTCAAGACTGAACTGAAGACTTAACTGGACTTTAACTGATTCCAAAATTTCGAAACCGCTGTTTTTATATTTTCCGATCCCACCAAAATATTTCTGGGTCATATACAATGATTGACCGTTCTTCTTTTCTAAGAAATAAAATGTATTTGTTTAAAACCGAATATGTCGCAATTTCCTGGATTATCGGGGTCAACAGATTTGTTGTGAGAATGTGGGGACGAATAACTCAAAGGATTCCGAAAACTCGCATCGGCCGTAAATCACCAATTTAATTACTTTTACCTTGATTTCAATATTTTTATGGATTTGATTTATGTGATGACACACTCTTGTTGACTAACTACTTAAATTTGAACGTACCTATTTTATAGCTATTTATGTACCAAGGGGATTATGTAGATTATAATGCCCGAAGGCGAAACTAGCCCGAGGGCCTATGGCCCGAGGGATATATTTCGCCTGAAGGGCATTATAATCTTGAAATCCCCGTGGTGCATACAATGCTTTATTTTCTACTCAACACAATGTTTTTTCATCAATTTGTACTTAACAAAATCAGTTAAACTTGTGTGACAGAATATTGTTTTGTATTTTGACATGTACCTGTACCTGTGACCTGTACCTGTACCTGCGACCTGTACATAGAAACGAAATAAATTAATATATCTATAAACATCTCATAAGGCAAGGCAACGGTGGTGGTCCTGTGGGTTAACGCGCTGGACTACATGGGAAACATTGATGGTAGACCGGGTTCGAATCCTGGCTAGACCGAAAATTATTTTCGGTCAGACATTTAGTGGCTGCCTAGGGTAAAGTGCAAATTAATAGAACAACAACAACAAAAACACCTTAAGGTATTATAAGCGGGCGTTATAGATCATAACGCCCGCAAAAGCGGGCGTTATGGATCAGGTTGTTATAGGTGTGTTGTTAACGTATTTCGTTTCCTAGGTATTATGGATCTATAATAGTAAAGTAGAAAATAAAATATTTTAATTAATTTGGGTCAATGCTAGTTTGTTTCATTTTCAATTTGTTGACACTGATTTGAAATACTGAAAACTGGAAAATCGATTTTTGATTATTTGATTACATACATATAATTTTTACTGTCAAGACATTGTAAATTACGAGTCTATTTTTCCCGGGTCATTACATAAAAATTAAATACCGGTGACGAAAATATTGCCAGTTCTTTATTGTTTCTGAGTTCAGTTTTGAACTCAATTCCTCGGAAACTGTAAGAGCTAGCAAAACCAATTGGGCACAGAAAGTCAATTTGTTAGAATATCAAAAAAATCTATCCATTTAATGGGTTAGCACTGATTACAAAACTTTTTGTTCCAGTATTATGAAGCAGCAATGGGTTTCCAAGGTTCAACATTCCAAGTGCCAGATAGACTCAGTGACGGTGACGGTAGTGAGTATGGTTCCCTTAGGGGGCAACCGAAAGTAGCTCAAACTGAATACATCACAGAACTTATATGAATAAACAGTATTAACTAGTTAATTTTAATGATAACTATTATTGAGCTAGAGACTTATATATTTATTCTAAAAAATTGTTAGCAGGACTTTTTCTGCCCCAAGCAATGTTCAATCTTGCCAAACCTGTTTAGATACTACATTATTTCTCAATAAGAGAAAACTATATGCGGCAGTCTGACACACATAATTTTGGAAAACAATTTTTAGAATAAATTTCTCAATGCGCAATTTGTTCATTTAAATTTCCGTATACATATATGAAGAAAAATTGACAAAATTGCCCATTACCCATTATTTTAATATTGGTCTGTAGAAATTTTTAAACTGACAATATTGTGGTGGATATACCGCCAATTTAGAGAATAAATTTAATTATTAAAGGTAATCCCCCCTATCAAAAGTGTCTAGTTGTAGAAAAAATTACTGTAAAAAATTTATCTATTTTATACAAACAATATAAATTAGGGGGGTTGCCTTTAAAAACAACGAAACTGGGGTGATTATAATATATTATTTTTCTAAAAAAAAAAACTTTTTTAGACAAAAAAAGTGCAAAAAAATTACATTTCTTTAATTTTTTTTGCATCATGTTGGGCCTAATTATTAGAAACAAGTGATTTTTTAGGTTTTAATTTATTTTTAATTGATTATTTTTAGGCATTTTTTTATTTTTGTATTAAGCTTCAGTACCAGTTTAATGAAATATAAACCATTGTAAATAAAATATTACACAAAGGATTCACTAGTATGTGGATCTCATCACTTTTGTAGTTATTTTTTTTTGCCATATCAGCACTTCAAATAGTTTTCCCCAAAATACTTAATACATACATAATTAAATGTAATTCTGTTATAGAAAAAACAATAAAGATAAATTATTATTACTTAAAACCTAGTTTCATTTTTCATCCGAGTTACATTGTAGCTACAAAGTATAGGTACCCATCATGAATCCCATGGAACCTGCCGACGCAAGATGTTTCCCATCACCAGGCTTGGGACCAGCTCAGCACAAATTAAAATAAAAATGTACCTTAGTTTAAGATGAATATTCATTCCATATTGTTTTGCTCTAGAGAAAACTTGTAACTTTTGAAAATAAACTTTTTAAAAACAGACTTTTTTCGGTGATCAAACGTAGTTGGCGCAGTCGGTAGGATAGTACAGTGACAGTTTCGCATCGAGTCGAAAATTACCGGTGGTTTCAACCCCCAAAGTGCTATCCAGAACCTTCGATTAACCGCGAACATCCAAGAACTATCCAGGCGAACAGTTGGAATCGAGAAAGAGCGAAGGAAGGCAGAACTCTGTAAGTGCTTTGTATTCCTTTTTACCCCCTCTGAAACCTTTGTTTGAGGATTTCTTATAGGGATAGTTAGGTCAGTGTATCGTACACAAAATAATTTTAAATTCAGTCTATTGGAGACAAGTATAGGTTATTTTTAATTATCGATTTCTCAATTTAGATTATTCAGTTCAATCTAAAATACAATAAACACTTTTATTATAGAATTAATTATTAATGGTAGACACAGATATTCTCGTTAGAGATCTTCTGAATAGCCTGCCAACGCTTCGGGTAAAGTTATATAAATGGATAATTGTTTGCGATTATAGAAATCTAAATGCTAAAACAATTAATGATAAATATGCAATTCCCAGCATAAACGACATCCTAGACAAGTTAGGTAGGGCTCAATATTTTTTGACGCTGGATCTAGCTAGTGGCTGAAATTGAAATAGAAAAAGATTCTATTGAAAAAACTGCTTTTACAGTTGATAATGGACATTATGAATGCCTACGAATGCCCTTCGGTTTAAAAAATGCCCCCTCCACATTCCAGAGAGTTATGGATGAAGTCCTAAAAGAACTCCAAAACAAAATCTGTATGGTCTATATGGACGACAAAATTATTTTCAGTACAGGATTGCAAGAATACACATTCAAAATTAAGAATTAGTATTTTCCAAATTAAGAGAAGCAAATTTCAAAATACAACTTGACAAAAGTGAAGAAGTTGAATTTTCAGGTCATGTTGTCAGAAAAAGTGGTATCAAACCAAACCAAAAAAAAGATTGAAGCAGTTCAAAAATTCCCAATACCTAGAACACAACGTGATATAAAATCTTTCCTTGGACTTTTAGGTTATTATCGCAGATTCATAGAAAATTTCGCGAAAATAACAAAACCTATGACTAAATGCTTGAAAAAGAACGCAAAGGTTGAACACACTAAAGAATTTCTAGAGTGTTTCGACAAATGCAAGAAAATTCTAACATCAGAACCCGTATTAGCCAACCCCGATTTTTCTGAACCATTCGAATTAACAACAGATGCTTCCAAATTTGCTATAGGAGGTATCCTGTCCCAAGACAATCATCCTATATGTTACGCTTCACGGACATTGAACCCTGCTAAAATAAACTACTCAACGATAGAAAAAGAACTTCTAGCTATCGTATGGAGCTGTAAATATTTCAGACCCTATTTATTTGGTCGTAAATTTATTATCCTTACTGATCATAGACCACTTCAATGGTTGTTCTCAGTGAAACAACCATAATCCCGTCTTGTTCATTGGCGACTCAAATTAGAAGAGTTTGTAGTAACGCGAAAATAAACCACCATGAAAACAATTAAAGGTTCTGATTATTCTAAACAACTGAAGACCTAGGATCCAACTACCGAAAATGAATCAAGAATAACAAGGACTTACCAAACAACCATACCAGGAGAGATCATCACTGAGACAGCACAACCAGAAACTTCAATTAAAAATTATCTGAACATCGATATCCAGAAATTATTGAAAGCCGATATTGACTAATACATTGGAATGTGACTAAAGCAAAAGTTCATGGATCTTTTTTTTTAAGTGCTTTCAACAATTAACATTCCAAAGGAGCCGAAAAATTTGTAAAAGGATCAATAAATCATGCACGAGCCTATATGATGGTACCCAATTAACAAACCACTTACCGACGCCCTCGATAATTAATTAAAAGTGGACCAAATACACTAATTAATTGATCGGATGATTCAACCACGAAAAATCGAGGTCAGAAACAATAAAGAAATTCAAGACAATGGAGGTACCAATGATATAAAAAGGCAACTTTGGCAGGAGAAAATCAGGGTTCGAGAAAATCAGTGTTCGAGAAAGAGCGAGTAAAAGTAAACCGGCAGAACTACGGCGTGAAAGACCAGTGTCGGTTGAGTAATCAAAAAACAAGTAGTAATCGAGAATCGAGAGACCTGTGTCCAGAAAGTCAGAACTACGGCGTGAAAGAGTTGTCGAATTAACCGAGAAAAGAAGCACGAGGTGAAATAACAGCTACCTTAAAATAAAAGCTCGTAATAAAAATGTTCCAAAGTTTAAGAAAGATCCAATAACTGGCCAAAATACTTTTAAAGTCTTCACTAAAGAGGGTTCCTATCATAAAGGCACAGCACGAAAACCAAAAATTAAAACAAAATCTGTTTTACAGGATAAGCAAGATGCAGATAACACTGCTCCTATTCCCAATAATCCTGGTCCTTCTCATTCCTAATAAAGGTAATGACGTTCAAATAACGACTATCAAAAACCCTGTGCTTCCTATACAAATAGGGAATGCAAAACTAATGTATAATAAAGATACATTTATCCACGACGTAGATTTAGCACCTATAGTTAATCAATGAAAGTAAGGTACAAAACCTCTATCCTCATATTAGACAAAAAAGAGGATTAATAAATATTATTGTAAAAGCTCAAAAATGGCTATTTGGAACTTTAGATACTGATGCTGAAGAACGCTACAATCATGCTATCAAAGTATTGCAACAAAATCAAAGAAGCATTGTTAATGAGTTGAATTTACAGAGATCATTATCACTAAATCTAATCAATAGTTATAACAATACTATTTTCACACTCAGTCAAAATCAACGAAAACTTGAACAAAATATCAAGATGGTTGAACAAACCCTTGATAATAAAATTTATAATTTAAATAATTTTATTATTCTTCAAAATGTCTTATTTCATATCAATTTAGATTGTCAAAATCGAATTAATTTTATTTATTTATTTATTTATCAGGTACACCTTGCAAACACTTAGAAAGTAATTACATGTAACGGATATAAAAAAATTGAAAACAAAACAAAAATACGCCTACATGCTAAAAAAAAAGGACATATACTCACATACAACAACAACCTAACATACCTAATCATTCTGAATAGGATTTGAACTTATTTTATGGACATATAATTTAATATCACTAGACACCCATGTTACGCACGATTCACTTTGCAATAGGAACTCTCTTAATTTCATTTACACTTGTGTTAATTATATCTATACTATTTTCTCTTGAAGTACGATTGCAATCTGACAATATCCGGTTTACAGGAGAGCAGCTTCTGGGATTAGTTGAAAATATATTGTTTTGCCTAAGTCTTAGGTTAACCTTAGGGACATAAAATGAGATAAGGTTAATTAAGAATGAATCTTTATATTTGATGCTGTTTATTATGAAAAATATGAATATTAAAGATTGCACAGACCTTCTAGTGTATAAATATTGTATATTAAACGTTTCCAACATATGTTTTAGGTTAACCTTAGGGACATAAAATGAGATAAGGTTAATTAAGAATGAATCTTTATATTTGATGCTGTTTATTATGAAAAATATGAATATTAAAGATTGCACAGACCTTCTAGTGTATAAATATTGTATATTAAACGTTTCCAACATATGTTTATACGATATTAATATCGGAAAGACAGGAAAGATGTTAAATTTTTTAAAGTAAAGGTATCTGAAAAATTTATTTGGACCCTTTCTATCAAATCAGAGCTACTCTCCGTTGTCGGTGACCAGATCACAGAGGCATACTCCAGGTGTGGTCTAACGAGAGCATTATATAACGTTACTAGAGTACTCACATTCGTAAAATCTTTTGTATTTCGAATTAAGAAACCCAACATTCTATAGGCCTTTTTAACAATTTCATCGTAGTGCAAACTATAGCTGAGGTTTGATTGTATTGTGACTCCAAGATCCTTGCAGTGATCCCTTCTGTCCAATTCATGTTGATTTATAATGTACATATATTCGATTGGATTTTGACGTCTAGTAAAGGTTACAGAAATGCACTTTCCTACGTTTAGAGACATTTGGTTTTTTCCGAACCATGTAGCTACGCTGTTTAGATCTTCTTGTAGTTTAGAAGCGATCACTCTAAACATCTTGAAGTCGTCAGCGAACATGAGGAATTTGGTACCTTCACACAGGCAATCAGGTGAGTCATTTATAAAGACAGAGAAAAGTAAAGGGGAAATATTACTTCCCTGTGGCACTCCAGATGTCGCCATATATCCCTCTTATAGTTCTCCACCCACACGAACATTGCATGGCCTCGATGATAGGTAGGTTTTCATTAAATTATAAGAACGTTGAGAGAAACCAGCGTTGACAAGTTTTTGCAATAAAAGATCATGGCTGACTTTATCAAAAGCTTTTTCTGCATCAGTGAAAATAACATCCATCATGGATGGCCAGAGAAATGGATTTTGTGAAAATGCATAAGTTTGTTACCGTAGATTTGCCCTCTACGAAGCCATGCTGTTGCTCGACAATTTTTTTGCCCACATGATTATAAATAAAATTACACAAAATTGTTTCAAATATTTTTGACAAGGAATTACAAATGCATATTGGTCTATAGTTCACAACTTCATTAATATTGCCCTTTTTGTGTATTAGTACAACCACCGTTTCCTTCAATTTATCTGGAAAGATACTTTTCTCTACACACAAATTGAACAACAGTTATAATATCCACACATCCCTTATATATGTAAGAAGGAATATTATCGGACCCAACACTTTTCT